AGCAAGCTCTCTCATAAGACTGTTGATCAGGTATATTGTGTCTGTAACACAGGAATGATTATACAGAACTTCCTTTCCAATGCTTCACAGTCCCTAATGCAAGTCTGTAAAATCAGTTTACACCATGCAGTCCGTATGCAGGTGTATTACTAACACAACTTGAGATGCAGGAAAAGCACAGGTCTATCAACATCATTTAGGGATTGATGGAACCCCTTTCGTTAAGGTGATTTCTAATGAACGTCCTTAATCAGGGAGCTCTGTTTCTCAATCAGGTAGTAAAGTCCTGTACAACCTTACAAGCATTGCCTGATGTCCCCTGGCGTGATACCCTGTCTAGAAACTTCCACTCCACCCTGTGCTTGGCCCAGCTTAGCTCATGGGTTTCAAGGAGCTCACAGCCTGTCCATGATCCCTCCCAACCACCCTTCTCTGCAGCCTCTTCTCTTTGCCTCCTGCAGGGAACTGTATGAGCGAGTTCATGGGGCTCATCAAAGGCCATTATGAAGCAAAGGAGGAAGGTTTCCAGCCGGGAGGTGGCAGCTTGCACAGCATGATGACCCCTCACGGGCCAGATGCTGACTGCTTCGAGAAGGCGAGCAAAGCCAAGCTGGAGCCGGAGCGGGTCGCAGACGGGACCATGGTAAGGAGCCAAGGGAGCTCGGAAGAGTTGGGGTAGAGCATGGCATAGTGCCCACTTTTAAACTAAAGCCTAGTTCTGTCACTTCTTGCTGGCAAGTTGGAAAAGTACTTGAACCCAACTGCTGCAGCATTCAGCTCCCTTATCAGTGAGCACTGCTCAGCTCCCAGGAGCTCCCCTGGAGACATCCAATGCCAGCCAGCTTTGATCATCTGCCCACATAAACTGCTGCCTGAGCAGGAAGCTGGGAATTTCATTTTTGTCTTAGCCTATGGGCAAAGAAGCAAACAACCTGACTGTCCTCTTGTCTCTACCCCTTAAAATCTAATGATCAGCAACAGACCTTGAACTAGAGCGTTTGGATCAACCTGGCTTTTCTAGGCAGGCAGGGAGTCCAAAGTCACTCCTGAGACCTGACTAATTCCAGCATTGCATTGCCAGATCTGAAGAGCATTCTCCCTGAGCTGGTCAGGCTGAAGAGAGAGCCTGGAAATACTGGACCATGTATACAAATTCTGTTTGTGGTAGAGAAGACACCTTGCCTGGATTTCCTTTTACCCTAACCTACCTTTCCTCTTCCCAATAGGCCTTCATGTTTGAATCATCCCTCAGCCTTGCTGTCACGAAATGGGGCCTCCAGACCTCAAATCGCCTAGATAAAAACTACTACAAGTGCTGGGAACCTCTGAAAAGCCATTTCAACCCTAAATGCAAGTAAAGGGAAGTGCTTTCTGCAACATGAGTGAAAGAAGGCAGGGAAATCCAGCATACCTGCATGTGATGGCACAGTCAACTCGGGCAGTGCAGAATGCTCCAGCACAGACTGGCACTTCCACCAGCTACTGAGCCATGAAAATGATCATCCCTAAGTAACCTGGGAAATGCAGTAGAACCCATCATTATTCTTATCTTTCAAGTATCTAATTAAAGCTTTCCTGGTGACATGTTGAAGCTGAAATACTTGTGTGGCTCTCACCACATGGGCCTGGTGTGAAAGCTGCACCTTGTGTGGACATGAGGTGCTAGCTAGCTCCCATTCACAGGGCCTCCTGAAAATACACCCCAGTGTGTCTCTCCCAGGGAGAAGCTAGGGACTGACAAAGCATTGTATGCTATCTGTATGGAAAGAGCTTTATAAACAGAGCTGAAGGCTCTACCAGGCCTAAGCCCACCATCAGAGCAAGCCACTTCAACCTGTTCATCATGGAGGGCTGCCAAGGAAAGACTTGGTTGTCAGGAAAGTAGACCACCAATGAAAAAAGGTGGGAAATCCAAAGCACTTCACTGCTAGGTGAGGGAAAGTTTCTATTCCACACTTTGGCCATCCTGCAATATTGACTTGTTTGTCAACACTTGACAAATTCTCTCCCTAGCTCTGTGCTAATCTGCAGCATATCAAATGTGAAAGGGCTTCTCTGGCCAGTCCAAGCATTTGTCCTGGGGAAGGTACCTGGAAAAAAATTCAACTGCAGACACCATGGGGGACCTCAACATTGAGTGGAGTACGCAAGCCTCACCCCCAGCTGGTGAATTCCACAAGGTGGAGGGAGCAAGCAAAGTTCCCAAGTAGGGAACCAGGAGCACAGCCCAGGCACCCCACACTTCAGGCCTGTACTTTAGCACATACCCACGTGGAAGTTTCTAAACCATGTGCCACCAGATCTATGTTTCTTACTTCCCCAGAGAAGCAATTTTCCCAAAGAGAAGAAAATGCAGACCTGTGACACACAGTTACCAGTCAGTTACATCCATCATCAGTTTTGGATCTGCACAGGTCCTTGGGGAAAAAAAAGGCATCAGCTTTGAGCAAAGTATTATGAAATCTACATGGAGACTTTTACTCTAAAATAGCCAATTCAGAAAAGGACATTTGGGAGAATCAATTTGCCAGAGAAGCTGATTTAATCAGACTGATCCAGGGATAAATGAGGTCTAAATGTTTCACAGGCAGAGGGGAAGAGCTTGTTTTCTGTTTGGAACCAAAATTATCATCCAGTGACCTACAGGCTTGAATTTCTCTCATACAGACAAATCACCAAGGCATATATGGGTGGTAACACATCAGCCAAGGGTAAAATTCCACAAGGCACATTCACTTTCCTACCTCCACCCTAGATATCTGAAGGGAAACCTCTTTCCTTCCTCACTGCACCCAGCACCACTGCCCCAAACATCAACCCCACCTCCAGCAGCATAGCATGCTCATTCCTAGGAAGAAAACAGCTTGGAGAGTTCTGGAAATAACAAGAGAGAAAAGTAGGGCAGCCTTTCCCCAAGCACCATGCCCTAATCTGCAGGGATATAGCATCAGAGACTCAGGGCTGGAAAGGAAAGGGCTGTGGCAGGTGCCATGAGCATCAATCCAACGCTGCCCTAAAAGACCAGAGGCACTGTGCTCATCCACAACCCATCCCGAAGCATTTGCTCAGCTGGCCTGAAACAAATACAGCTGCAAGGGAGAATTTACATGTGTGGCAACTCAAGTTCCAATTAGCTGAGGAAATGGGTCCTGGGAGATCAAATTAGTTTGTGGCAGCAAGAATAGCTAATTTAGCATGCTCAGACAAGCAATTATTTCTTTCCCTAAATACCACTCTCTCCATGCACTGATGCCTCTTTGCACTGGTCCACAGCTCTATCTTGTAATATCATTTGTGACAGTCTTTTAGGAGCTATTCTGCAGAGAATAATACGGGTTTGCTTTAGTTAAACTAGCAGAACAAGCTGCAGAAACTGGTGCAAAAGGGTTGCTGGGAGCACATATGGGATTGCAAAACCTAGCACTGACTAGTCCAGTTTCTGTACACAGCATTAGTGCCAAGCTCCGTGCAGCCTGGATGTTTCATGGCCCACACATGAAGAACTGCAATAGGAAACACTTAAAAAAATTAATTTAAAAAACAAAAACCAAAACCAAACCAAACAAACAAAAAAACCCAAAAAACAACAAAACCCCACACAAACAGAAAAAAAAATCCCCCAAGCAACAAACCCACCATCAAAAAGAACCCATACAGTGAGAGTGATTTTATTGTGAGGGTGACTGAGCATGGGCACAGGTTGCTCAGGAAAGTTATGGAGTCTTCATGTCTAGAGATACTCAAAAGCCACCTGTACATACATGGTCCTGGACAACCCACTTTAGACAGCCCTACTCGAGCAGAGGGCAAGACCCAGATGACCTCCAGAGATCCCTTCCAACCTCAGCCACTTAGTGATTATGTGAAAAAGCTCATCAATTCACTCTGCTGGAGACTGACTGCAAATGGCCCACATTTACATCTTCATCATGCAGGAAAAGAAAGGATGCAGTAGACCTGTTTTTGCTAGTGACTGCAAATGGCCCACATTTACATCTTCATCATGCAGGAAAAGAATGCAGTAGACCTGTTTTTGCCGACTTCACACTGGCTGCTTTCCCAGCAGTCAAAGGGAAGTTTTCAACTTTTGTATCAGACTGAGCTTCTGGCATGAACCTCAGTGTCTGGGAAGAAACCAGTTCCATAACCTCTGAAGAATGAGGGTTGTTTGCATCATGATGGCACCTACTGGCCATGTAAAAATTCAAGTATGCATCAAAAATCTTTTCTTTGCACTCATACCTCAGTACACTGACAGTAACAATTCCACAGTCCTCTATACCAGTTGATCTGGGCATCAAGAACTTGTGTTCTTATAAGAATAAACAGAAAAGGCATCTTTGCAGGCATAAGATTCAGTTATGCTTGATGGTGGATTTTTTTTTTTTTGGAACATAGCCCGCTTACAGGGATGAATTCTCCCATACTACAAGATAGTCAGTGTCAAAGTAAAACTCCTAATCTTGTACTTTTTGTCTCTCATTCACAGGAACCACAGAACTGGAAGTTCTGGTTACATACAGCATGACAACATTGAGCCCACTATTTCCAAATCTCTTACTAGTAAAAAATAAAAGTTTATTACAGTAAACAAACACACAGTTGAGGCTTGTAGTTCATCAGGGAAAAGAAAAATTAACTCAACTTATTGAGAGCAGTCAGGCAGACTCCTAAGTTCTTAAAAATGATTCATACAACTTGCCTATTATCCAGTTAGGGCAAACCACACAGCCAAGGTGACACCAAGAAGAAACATCTGGAAGGCAAGCAGTAGTTCCTTTAGGAAACTGCTTTGGTCTTGCTTAGCATTTCAGCATGCTAGTAATTTTAAACTTCAACCTTCCTGGACAACAGCAACTTCCATGGTTTAAAAAGATCCTCGGTATGTACACCAAAAGTAGAGTGGCTGAGTTCCAGACACCCTCTCTCTATCCATCTGGTTCAGATACAAAGATCCTACAGTTTTGCACTTCCCAGGATTTTTAAAGATGCAAGACAACCAACAAGCAATTAAGATTTATTTTTGTGACAGAGAAATGTCATCACATAATGCATCTTATTTTATTTATGTCCCAAGAACATCACTGCAGTTCCAGGGCCTTAGAAGAATACACTGAGCGGCGATCGCTTGTATTTACCTTCCTCGATACGCTTCTTTTTACGATCCTGTGGAAGAAAGAGAACATTTATCACCTTCCTGCTAGAGAAGGTCTTTCAATCAGCCTGGGATAACAGAGCAGCAGTTCTAGTATTTCACCATATAGGATTTTAAGGGTGTTTTCTACCCTAAATGATTCTTTGAGCACAAGCTGTTTAAAAGTAAAAGATAACAAGGCACTTAGCTTCACCTGCTGAAGACCTGCTCAGATTGACCTCACGTCCAGGCACTCTCACAGGCCAGCAGAGACCAATTCCTGTAAGGCGTTTTTCACCAAACTGGTTGTGTCTCATCATTTGTACCTTAGTTTCTATCTCCTCCTTCTGGCTGAATAACCCAGCTGAGAGATCTAATTATGGAGAAACTTCTTAAAAACTTGCCTAAAAGCACCTGTGCTCTCTTCCTACCCATTTGTACCTCACTCTGCAGTTATGGACCTTTCTGATAGGTACCATTACAGTACACAGGCACTGTAGATAATGGTCAGATTCCTTCTGCTGGATAAAACCAGAAGATTTACTTAAAACCTGGTAATTTATCTCTTGCTTTCCCAGACATAGAGCAAACATTCCTCAGAGAAAAGACTATGACTACCGTGCCTTATGCACTACCAGGAAAACAAGAAGAATCCCCAAACATCACTAAAGGAACCACAATAAAGGAAAGTGAATTATCCTGGATACCAATTAAAAACTTCAGCATGGCAAAATACTGCAGAGATATTGAAGTCTCAAGAACATTTATATCAAGATGTTCAGCATGTTTCCTACAACCTGAATTTTCAATTCACTCTAGCAAACAACATTTCCTACAAATATTCTGTTAATTTATGTTAGTGCTTCGTGGTTTATGATTTGATCTAAAACGCTACTTCTGTGCAAAAGAGGGAAATAAAAGTGGTTTACAACAGCCACAAATTCTCTACTAAAAACAGCCACTGTCTACCTGTTAGCATTTTTTATGTATGTATATAGCTGAGTTTTTTCATAATGATCTACCATTCCTTAGATTCTGACACGCATAGTTTAGGAGTTAGAATGGAAGGAAGATAAAGCTTCCAAATTATTAGTGTCCAGCTGAGATCAGACACTGCAATTGGTATAATTACTGCTCCCCATTTGCTTCACTAAATTAGAGAAATTGTCAAGCAACTGCACAGAGATATTGTTAGGTCTGCCATCCATAAGCTTCCTGTGTATTTTGAGTTCAAAAAGCATAGTTAATGCACGTCAACTGCTGAAAATAAGAGTAACTTAGGATTAATTTTCACACAGTGCTACAGAAAACTTTGTGACTGCAAAACAGCCTGATCAGGCAGACTGTGACTGGCCATGCCCCCAAGGGTAAAATAAAGGGCTCTCAGAAAAAGATGCTGCAACCAGTAACAGGGTTTGAGACAGCAGGCTGGCTACAGCCTTCCTCCCCTCACTACATCAATGGTATTAATCATTCTTAGGCGCATGAGGATCTCACAAACTGAGACTCCAAGCAGATCTACATTTTACAAGCTGGTGTTTGTGGTGTTCGCTGACGCTCAGCGTTCTCGGCCGACTTACCCTGTCAGCTTTTAACACAAAGATCCAGAACAGGAGGGGGCCTAACCCATAAACAGCTCCTAGAAAGGACGTCGTGGGTGTCGGACGGAAAGTAGGGTAGACGTTCTGCGACTTCGCATAGGCCCAGCGGATCAAGGCGGGATTTTCCTGGGGTGCAAAGACAACAGCGGTGAGGCCCGCGGGGCCCTGCAGTGAGCCCCGCACCCGGGGACTGCGGCCAAGGCACACCGGGAAGGGCACCAAGGTCACGGGGAGGGCGGGCAGCGCCCCGCCGCCCCGGCCCCAGCCCCGGCCCCAAGCACGGCCGCAGGCGCGGGCCCCGCTCCGGGACGCCGCCGGGTGAGGCGGGCGAGCCCCGCGCTGCCCCCTCGGCCCCCTCGATCCCCACTCACGATGACGGCGGGCGCGCCGGGGTCGTTGAGCTGCAGCAGGTACTGCCGCTTGAGGCGGGAGCGGATCGCCAGGCGCTCGGCCTCGGCGCGGAGCTTCTCCGGCGATGTGTCGTAGGTGACGGGGTCGAGCTCGGCGGGCAGCGAGACGAAGCGGTTCGGCCTGTACAGCTTGGCCGCCGACGGAGGCGGTGCCCACGCCATCTTGGAGAGCCGGCCCTGCCGGCGGCGGGGGCGGTGCCGGCCCGGCCCCGCTCCGCCCTCTGCGGGAGCAGCGACCTCCCCTCACGGAGCCGCAGCATGGTCTGGGCTGCCGCGGCGGTAAAGTTCGTTCTCTTCAGCCCCGCTGCCGTGAGCAGGGACGGCTTCCACTAGACCCGGTTTATCAGTGCCCCATCCAGCCTGGCCGTGAACGCCTCCAAGGGATGGGGCATCCTCAGCTTCTCTGGGGAGCCTGTGCCAGTGCCTTACCACACTCAGGGTAAAGGATTTTTTTCTGTAATATCTAACCTAAACCTACTCTTTTGATTCGAACCCGTTCCCCCTCCTCCTGTCACTACATTCTGTTGTAAATAACCTTTCCCCATCTTTACTGTGAGTTCCCTTCCAGGTACTGGAAGACCACAATTAGGTCACCTCAAAGCCTTCTCTTTCCCAGGCTGAACAAACCCAATTCTCCCAGCCTTTCCTCGTGGGAGAAGTGCTCCATCCCTGTCATCATCTTGTTGGCCTCCTCTGGATTCACTTCAACAGGTCCATGTCCTTCCTGTGCCAGGGGCCCCAGGGCTGGATGCACTTCCAGGTGGGATCTCGCAGAGCACAGGGGCAGAATCCCCTCCCTTGTCCTTTGGATGCAGCCCATGCAGGACACGTTTGGCTTTCTGGGCTGTGAGTGCCCGTGGCCGGAGCATGTCCAGCCTCTCACCCAGCAGCACCCCCAAGTCCTCCTGGGCAGAGCTGCTCTCGACCTGTTCATCCCCCATCCCGTGTTGATACGGGAGTTGCTCTGACTCAGGTGCAGCACCTTGGTCTTGTTAAACCTCGTGAGATTTCCGGGTATCCACTTCTCCAGACTGTCTTGGCCTTACCTGGCCTCACCTGCTGTGGCTCAGGGCATGTCAGGGGAAGGTTTTGTTCTCACAGTAACAGTCCCAGCAGGTCAAATTTTCTTGTGCCCTGCAATTAAAATTGCCTTGAGGATGAGTCACAGGTCAGGAGTGTTGACCTCTTTGAGCCTGTTGGGACACGGGGGTGCCATTGCTGTGGGGGTGTTTACTGCCCTTTTGAACAGTATTTCTGTGTTTTAGAAAGTGTAGTTAACGTATGTCAAACTGCTGAAAATAAGTCTCTTAAAATTACAGGATCATGGAATCACAGAATATCCTGTGTTGGAAGTGACCCAAAAGGATCATTGAGTCCAACTTAGCCCTGCACAGGACCATCCCCCCACACCATCTGCCTAAGAGCATTGTCCAAACACTTCTTGAACTCTGTCAGGCTGGGTGCTGTGATCACTTCCCTGGGGAGCCTGTTCCAGTGCCCAACCACCCTCTGGGTGAGAGAACCTTTTCCTAATATCCAACCTAAACCTCCCCATGGTCAACTTTAGGCCGCTCCCTTGGGTCCTGTCACTGTTTGCCAGAGAGAAGACATCAGTACCTGCTCCTCCACTTCCCCTCATGAGGAAGGACTGCAATTAATTTACACTGTCAGTGCTACAGAGAGCTTTGTTATAGCTACGTTTGAACATTAATTCATTTTTGAACTGAATAAAAAATCCCTACGTCTGAACAGTATTCCATGTTGCACAAGAGATATGTTGCAGGCAGAGTGGTACTTGCAAAATCCCACAGTTACTGGCTTTCAGCTTCAAATTGTCCCTTTGATTCTTTAACCAAGGCTGAGCTGACTGGACAAGCTGCCAGGTAACCTCCAGGATTCTCAAGAGGTGACTCACCACCTTGACGGACACTATTGACAGGTTCAGGATTCACCCTCTGCTTGGTGAACACTGGGCAAAGAAAACAAGGGTTTGACCTCGCACTGCTTTTGGCCAGCGTGTGCCCAGGTGGCCGAGAAGGCCAATGGCACCGGGCCTGGATCAGCCATGGTGTGGCCAGGAGGAGCAGGGCAGGGATTGTCCTCCTGTACTTGGCACTGGTGAGGCCACACCTCGAGTGCTGTGAACAGTTCTGGGGTCCTCTCTGCAAGAAAAACATGGAAGTGCTGGAGCGTGTCCAAAGGAGGGCAGTGGGGCTGGTGAAGGGTCTGGAGCACAAGTCCTGTGAGGAGCAGCTGGGGTTGTTTGGCCTGGAGAAGAGGAGGCTCAGGGGAGACCTTATTGCTCTCAGTAACTGTCTGAAAGGAGGCTGTGGCCAGATGTGGAGTTGGTCTCTGGTCCCATATAGCAAGTGATTGAACAAGAGAAAATGACCTGAGGTTTAGATTTGATATTAAGAATAATTTTTCACCAAAAGGATTATCCAGCACTGGAACAGGCTGCTCCAGGAAGTAGTGAACCTTCTCCATAGATATTCAAAAGACATGGCATGTGGGGACACTGTCTACTGATGGACTTGGCAGTACCAGGTTCATCACTGGACCTGATGATCTTAGAGTTATTTTGCAACCTTAATGATTCTTAGGCTTTGTCTTTAAGAAGTTTTTGTCCTGTTGATATTCAGTACTTTGGTCTCCAGTGATATAAAGGAAGACAATGCAAGTTGTCTTTATGGAAACAAAGTAGCCAATAAACAAGTTCACTATTGTGTTTTCTTCTTCTAGTGATAACAGTGATAGTTATGCTGATTGGGACCCAATAAGTTAATGGCTGTGCATATATAGTTATGGCTTGATTCAGACTGTGGTAACTGCAGACTCGGGTAATGTTGGATGAGGGATTACAATTTCCTCCTAAGCATACACAAAATATTACTGCTGACTTTATTTAAGATACTGTGCTTTGGCACTGCAATAATAGAGCACAAGCTCTTCCTCACATCCTACAATTTCACTCTTTTTCTTAAGCACTTGGAAAATAAACAACCTCCTTTTGGTCTGAACAGCTGATTAGGAGTTGTGACTTGCTTTCAGCGGGATGAAATACAAGTTGGATGTTTCTGCAGTTTGTGTACCTTGAGCATCCCCACCATAACACGCTGCATTAGATGCATTTCCCTCTCTCAAGTACAAGCCTATAGTCCTCTCAGAAATCTCTCCAGCTTTTGCACCCTCATTTTCTTCACAAACATGTGTCTGCAAATCCAAGTGAAAAACAAGCTGCTTCATTCACAGTCAGCTCCCAGGGAAGTACTTAATATGCCCTGTTGCTTTTTCTCCCAGAGCTTTCAGCTTGGGTCAGTGGCTCCTATAGCATGGAAAAATAAACTCCCTTTACTTCCCATTTTGTGACCATTGGATTTAGTGAGCTTTTTGTCTCCAGCTCCACAATTTGTGTCTCTTCATAACTGCCATGTAGAGAGCTGCTTTAGCAGCACGGTACCTATACCAGCAGCACTGCCATGTGGCACTCCTGTGGTACTTTCATCTCTGAGTGTTCCCAAAGACTTGGCAGCCTGTGTCTCCCAGCCTCTGCATGGCTTGCTGCTTTTAAAGCTGCTCCTCCCTGCTCTCTCTTATTTCTTAATAAAATGACACGTGCAGCCTTGAAACAGATTGATTCCTGGCAGAAGCAGGACTGCAGATTGGATTAGCAAACTAGGAAGGGTTAGCTGCTCTGTGGGAAATAATGGGGTTTTTTCCCTCTTTGCTGTATCACAGAGTGGAACAGAAGAACCCTGTTCCTGCAAATCTCCCAAAGGACTTCAAAACAGCCAGATGCCTTTGCCCCAATCTGCTGACTCCTGAGGCCTGTCTGTAGTGGTGTGTGATGGTTCCTGTGGGCAGGAGCAGAGATGGTCTCACGGTGAAGTCACTTGGCAAAGACAGCGGGTTCAGCTCCAGCCCTGTGCAGAATCTTTGTGATCTTATCAGTGCTGTCCAAGCTGTGCCTCTCCCCAGAGCTCATAGCTGTGAGTGTGCATGCTTGGCATGCAAACAGTGCTGGAATTAATTCTACTGGGAGAAAAACAGAAGGTACAAAGCAACATTTCCATTAACAATGTAATGTACTGTATTAGAAAACCGAGCAGCCAGCTGCTATGCTGAAAACACCTTTGCATTTCATCTCTAGCCGCTAACTCATCCTCCCTCCCAAAGGATCAAAATCCTCACAGGAAGTCTTTTCTGAGAGATGGCACCTGTTTCATGGGGTAAGAAAATAACTAAATCCCTTCCAGAGAAAAATATTCTCTGACCCTGAAGCCTGTGCATTTCAATTTGTTGTTTTCACTCTTCCAGGGTGAATTTGTGCACTTTCTTTGTTTTGTAACAGCCATGTTTCTAACTTTAGAACACATCCTTCAGCAAAAGCCTGAGTCACCAATAGTCAGTGTTTCACCCTTGCATAAAGCAATGCAGGACAAAGACAGAAATGCTGCAGACAAAGCACTTGACTGAAATCAGTGATTGTTTTTTCTCCTGCTGACAGGAACTGCTGCTCCCAGGCAGAAATTCTGCAGTGACAAACTGTCCTCCTGTGCAGACCTCCTGCATCATCTGCTCCTCCTGGACCACCCTATGGCAGCCGCTGAACGCAGTCTTGCTGCTACTGCAAACCACCTCTGAAACAAAAGATTTTGCAAGAATGAACAAGACCCTTCTTGTCCCTGTTTTGTCAGCCAGATCTTGAAGCTCCTTTGACTCTCCTCCTGACTGCCAGTGTTGACCTAAAGCAAGCAGCAGGAATGTAAAATAGGCTCTAGTAAGGGCGGGGCCAGTCTCAGTAGGGTAGCATAGGCTTGAACTAGAATATGCTGGTCGTAAAACCACATCCTCGTGGGCTCACACACCAAGGCTTAACAGGTAAGACCCCAAGTGGTTTTTCTTCTTTTTAATTAGGACTGATGTTTATTGAATGTTCAAGGTTGGCAGTATTAAGTGAAATTGACAATTCTCCTATAAAAATGCCTTTGCAGTTTTCATCGTCTGTTTTCTTTGCCATCAGCAGTAACCAAAATGGAAAGAACAGTCAAGAAAATTAATCTTTGTCCAGAACCCCATGGAGGGTTGGCCTTGACTGACTGTCAGACATCGACCCAGCTGCTTTTTCACTCCTCTCCTTGAAAGAGCTGGGGGAGAAAATGACATAGAAAATCTCATGGCTTGATAAAAGTGCGGTTGTTAAGAAAAGCAAATGCT